GTAGTAACAAGAAGCTAGTAGTAACAGGTGCCACGCTAGTAGTAACAAAACACCGGACCGGAGACTCCACTTGGTCAGACCCGAAAAACATCTGGACAATCGGGTCCTGTGTCTTCTTTCGCTTGTGGAAACAGGAACGAACCGACCAAATTACCATAGTCTTAGTCTTCCAAGGTGCAAAGAATGGTCTTTTGCTCAGCGCAACCGATGTGACAACCAGGTACACATCCATCATAGCAGCAGAAGCAAGCATTCCAAACATACACCTCCGCCATTGGATTCAACAGGTTCAATTGTGAATGTTTCTTGACAAAACAATTCCTTGCACCGCAGCGCCTGGCTCTCGTCGATGGAGTCCACTTGCATGCGCAGCTGCCGTGGGCGACTCACAGGAACAGGAGCCGCCATTGTTATGCACAAAGATCTTCAAGAATGTCAGGGAACGAAGAACTCTTCTTGAACCAAACTTCCCGCACAAATTTCAATGCTCTTGCATGGACCCCAGATAGCATGTTGGGTAAGAACGAAAACTCATGATCAGTACTGATGGGAATCAGAACCCAAAAAGGTGGAAGGCCAAAATTGCAATCAAAGCCTGGTTTCAAGGTCATCCGTTAAGGTAACTCGTATCTAACGCTCTTCAACTATGTTCCATTTCCGGCCCGCCCTGCCCCCCCCCCCAAAGCGTAGACTATCCATTTGCACATCCTCTTTCAGAAAACGTCATTTCTGAATTGCAATCTGGAACGGCTGGCGCAAAACCACTCAATCCTTGTTGAGGTGCCAGCATGCGTCTGGAACTCGTCACGAGTGAAATGATGGGAAGATTCCAGCGCCATCGACTGCGTGTGAACCCTTACTCTGAATGAACATCCATGGCTTTGTTGAACCCCTCTTCATCAAGAATAGAATCTTTCAACCCATGAACTGTGCAAGACCCTGCTGGCATCCAAAATCGGACCATCTGACTATCACTCAACCTTTCAAAGTGGTTGAAGGTCCAGAGTCCAAAGGTTGTTTGATCCTTCGCACACGGCGCTATGTGCCGAAATGTGGCCGCCTGACCTCAGTTGGCACCTGGCACTCCTTCAGCCCAATACCACCGAGATTAATCACCGGGGCACGAGCTGCGGGCCCCGCAGCTCACAGCACGTCCACGAAGTGGCCCGGTGCACAACACCGGAAGCCCAAGCAACGGCCCTTGGCGCAGGGGTGCCGCCCACGACGGTAGCTGCTGCGTGCCAACCTGAAAGGACCAAGTGGCAGGATGACTTGACTGCAAGAGTACCACACGATCATCCTGGTGTTAGAATGCTTTCGAGCATTGTGTGCAACTGCGGCGCGACCCATCCACAGAATGAGGTGGAGTAAATTGACAGAAAACACCCATTCACGATCCTCAACTGAAAACATGGTTCCCTGGCTGGGCCAGCTGGATTGCAATGATGAATGACCTCTAAACGACAAGAAACGAGGCTGGGCCAACCCAGCTACCTCCACGCTCGCTCTTCAGGGCACCTTCTTCTTCCTCCGCATTCCAGGCATCTTTGTCACTGGCCTGGCGATAGCAACAGCAGGAAGGGAAAAATATATAAGCTATTAGAAACAAGTGCATCGCTTCTAGTAACAAGTGCCTTACTACAGTAGATGGACCAAATATTCAAACCCATGTATCACTAACTGTCGCCAACCCCTGACCCCCAAAGGTCGATGTTGAACATAACTTGATTGAATTTGTGTTTCCAAGGTTTGATTTGTTTCGTCTATTCGCCGAAACATTCTTGCAAGACCTCTAACATTGAGCTTTGGGGTAGAAGGGGTCCACGTGGTTGAAAGGGCTTGAATATTTCGTCCATCTACGGTACTGGGTGTGGACGGCGATCGGAGACCTCACATGCGTGTGTTGTTTTCAAGTGATGCCGGGCGGTTCCAGCTACTGTTCTTACTGTTGCCATGTGCTGTGTCTGTTCCCAGTCCCTTTCCAGTGCCTTTCCAGTGCCTTTTCCAGTGCCTTTGCACTTTCTCGTGGCCCTGCCAGCAAAAAAGTGTTTCTGGTAAGTTTTGTTGAAGCAAAAAGATAAGCTATCTCTTTTTAGCAAAAAAGTGCGTCACATGGCAAAATCACTGGCAGGCGCACACAAACCGTGAAAAGGCGCTGGAAAAGGCACTGGAAAAGGCACTGGAAAGGCACTGGGAACAGACACGGCACATGGCAAAAGTAAGAACAGTAGCTGGAACTGCTCTTCATCTGGTTTGCTTTCCTGACGTCTGCTGTCCTCGCTCGCAACGTGTCGATGTGAAAGTGTTGTTGAGAACAGAAGATTAAAACACAGAGTACTACGGATGAAGATGTTAGACTTGATACTTACGAGCCAAAAATACGCAAACGTCACACCTTTAGACAGTAGATGGACCAAATTTTCAAACCATGTATCAATAACTGTCGCCAACCCCTGACCCCCAAAGGTCAATGTTGAACATAACTTGATTGAATTTGTGTTTCCAGGGTTTGATTTGTTTCGTCCATTCGCCGAAACATTCTTGCAAGACCTCTAACATTGAGCTTTGGGGTAGAAGGGGTCCACGTGGTTGAAAGGGTTTGAATATTTCGTCCATCTACGGTAGTAGTAACAAGAAGCTAGTAGAAAAAATAAGCTGCTAGGAACAAGTGCCTTACTAGTAGTAGCAAGAAGCTATTAGAAACAAGAGACCAGCATCACACAGCCATTGGCGCACTTCTGGCTCACCCATACTCGTCCGGCTCTCCCTAGGGCCCTAGGGTAGCGCCTCTGTGCACATGTAGAAGTTTGTGTGGTAGGTGTCGCGGCACCACTGCCACACATTGCCCGCCATCCCTTAGCTGGTCTCATCACATGCAAAGCCCCGGCCAGAAGGATTTGTACTTGCATAAGCTGTTTTATTCAAAAATATGCCCCACTAGTAACACGAAGCTACTAGGTCCTAGGTGGAGGCCATCGCTACTAGGTTGGAGGCCATTACCACCACTAGTAACAAGAAGCTGCTAGTAACAAGGGCATCGCTACTAGGATCGAGGCGGGCAGGCGCTGGAAAATACCGCGCCTCGAAGACCAAAGGGGGAGACCCCCATCAAGACATTGACGCCCACCAAAGGAAGCTCTTCCAATGGAGTTGCCACATGAGCCGTGACGTTGCCCTTGCTATCATACGTGCTAGCGTCCCAGCAGACATTGAGCAAATCAGGCGTGGCATCATCATTTCCCCAAGGGAACTGCATGGTCTCAGGGCCCCGCGCAGCATACTCCCACTGAGCCTCTGTCGGGAGGAAGCTCTTGCTGGCGGTCTTGTAGCTGCGCCAGTCTTCTCCATGGGCCTTGCGTCTTTTCCAAAAAGGACGCAAGTCTTACTGTAAGTCTCACTATCAAAAAATATACAAAAGCTGCAACATCGACCTTTTTGTTCCTTTGCGTGAGGGCTTGTTCCAAACGCGGCCAGGGCTGCCCAGAGAGCGTATGCATTGGCGCCATACCAGGACACCAGAATCATTGGCCAGTTAGGTGGCACGCCGGGTTTCACCTGCACGGTAACAATTATATATATATATATAATCAAAACTCCACATGGCTTGAATTGCCAGAGAGTGTCAAAGGACGGAAATTATCTACAGTAAAGGATCCTTAAAACAACATCCGGCCTGCCACCCCTCCTCGCCCAACGTCAGTGGTATATGGCAACATCTTGCATCTTCAGCAGGTAAAAGGCAGAAGTCAAAGAGCTCATCTTGACTTGGCTGTGTCAAATTCAGGAACCGCGCGTAGGCGCCCAAACTTACAGGCTCGATATCCATCAAGAAACTACTGAGTTCCACGACATGAGAGGGTCCTTCGTTCTCCCGCGCTGTCGGGCAGTTGGTATCATCTCCAATCCGCGCCATGCTAGCAGGGAGGAGGATACTCTCCATCCCATCAGTGCTGCGATAATACCGGGAGGCCTCTCCACCCCGGGGTCTGTAGCTGCAAGGGGCCATCTCACCCGTCCCAGTGATCTGAGTGAAAGCCACCGAAGTCAAGGTCACACCTGCGTGTTCAGCTTCCAATTGGAGCTGCTTTGACTTATAAATATAAAGCGCACACTGCTGGCAGGTTAGCCCACCAACATCACAAAGGTCGTTTTGCCTTGTGGCGCAGCGACAAACTTCTAGGGTTACTTAACTTATGATCTTTGGAAGCCCGTTTTTTGGGTTCCTGCCTGGCTGTGCAGTACTAGCGCTCTCCACGCTCTTGGTGCGTTGGGTCTTGGGAAGATCAACGATGGCTTGACTCAGGGATTCGATGGTGGGGTTGTCGAAGACGAGCCGCGGATCGATTTCCACCTCAGGGAACTCCCGACCAAGCTCGAAGGCATCCATGATGATGCACCTCACGCCCCCCCATTGAAGAAAAACACACTGATAGAACTCACGAACCTGAAAGAAACACAAGTACCCCAAACCATGTTTGACACTCTTGCGTGGCACTCCTCCAAGTTTGACCATCTGGGGTGACACTCTGCTATAACATGCTATAACATTTTACAGGGCAATGTTGTGGAAACTCTTGTTGGACACCCTTTTGGGACGCTCGTGTAAGACAATCTTGTATCAGGCTTGTGGGACGCTCGTGGGAGACGAAACTCTCCTTGGACATGCTTCGGGTCACTCTTAGGAGACACTCTTGTCGGACACTCTTGTGGGACAGTTTTGTGGGGCGCTCTTGTGGGAGACTCTTGTGGACCACAAGTCACCCCGCTCGCCAGGATGCTTCCCGCTCCCCGATGGCACATGCAAACACACGCAATCGCACTTTCCACCAAGGCCGCGCAAATCCGCCTTGGCACAAAATGCGGTTTGGCACTGCTGCGGCGGAGGGTGCGTTTGCGTGGCTCCGTGTCATTGGGGAACGGGAAACATGCGTTTACACATGCACACTTCCCTTGCCTCAACAGCACAAAGCAACAACGCACTTTCCACCAAGGCCACGCCAAGCCGCATGCCACAGAGAGAAAGCAGAGCTTAATACGGAATCTTCGTGGTAGGCGCAGGGAATCGTGCTGTTGTGACGTGGCAGGTGGAGGTGCCAGTTGGGATTGGTGTGTCAGTGGCTGTGATTTTCGAGGGCTGGGACTGCACAGCTGCTTGGCGGAGCTGCGCCCTATGTGTTCGCTCTGATGGGACTTCCCGCTTCAAAACGAAACGCTCGTTTTGGCGGCTTTTACGCGTGACTTTTCAACTTCCACATCTCCAATGCGCACACAGTGCTGCGCCCTCCACGAAAAGTGACGACATGACATCTTCACGTCTTCAGCAAAACTCGTACCACATCACAAGTTCGCCGCACTCACCTCCACCAAAATCGCAATTTTAGCTGAGACAGGCTGAGACGAAAACACCGCTTCGAGGCAAGAGCCTGAAATCCAATGGCACAGTGACCAAATGTGCTAACTCACGAAACGCTGCACCTGCGCAGGACTTCACGCTCCACACTTCAGGCATCATGTTTGCACGCTACTTCACACGAATCGGACACTTCTCCATCGAAGAGCTCTTCCCCAGAAGATTCCCCAACGGCAGGGATTTTCAAACGTTCGGAGCGCCGATCGCGACGAGACCGGGCGTACGAAACCACAAACCACACGAGGCGCACACAGGTCCAACCCCCAGACCCCCAGACTATAAATCGGGAACCCTTCGCTACGCAGTTCGGGAAAAAGCCAGGGATCCAAGTTGCCAAAGCCCTCTGACAACCACCCTTTAAAAACCAATTGAAGTTCCACAACTGTGCCTGGAATCACGACGGAGGAGGATATTGTCTGTGGGCCGCAGCGGCAAGTCCTCATCATCAGGGTTGTAGACAGGCTCGGTCATGATTCGGCCAAGTGCAGGCGCGTCCGCTTCATCTTGAGCTACACGCTCGTTGAGAACCCGAGAGACCTTCTGCATCACCTGCTCCAGCACGTCCTTAGCCGTGCCGAGGGACGGAAATGTGGACGATGCAATGAGGAACAAGTGCCTTACTAGTAGTAACAGGTGCCTTACTAGTAGTAGCAATGTTCGCTACTAGGAACAAGTGCCTTACTAGTAGTAACAGGTGC